CAGGTGACTTCATCAAGAACAGCTTTGAACATACAAAAATACTTCTAGCTGTTCCACTCCATTTGTGCTTACTTTCATACTATTATGTATATTCTGAAGGATCTGAAGACTCAGGAGTAAATATAATAGCTGTCTTCAAGTATCTGAAGAGCTGCCCTGTAGAAAAGCAATTACATTTGCTCTATTTGGCCCCAGAGGGCAAAGCCAGGAGCAATAGGTAGAAGACCAACTTAAGAAATGTCAGAAAAAAAATTCCTGTCAATTAGTTATCTAAAAGTGGAGCAGGCGGCTCCCAGGGATGGTGGATGCCCCTCATTAAATGTCTTCTGGTAAAAGCTGAGTAAGCATTTGTCAGAGAATGTTATAGGAAGGATTCATGTATAGCTTCAGAGATCCCTTCTAACTCTCAAATCCTGTGATTGTGTGATACTTTCATGGTGCAGCTCACAACTCAACTATGCCTTTTCATCTTATGAGACAAATCCTCCACAAGCAATCCACAGAATGTGCTGCGTGCCTTCACCTTGATCTGTTAATATTGAGTTAACAGTAATAAAGTATACTGAGTATCCTCACTCTCACTATACAGACAGCCCACATCATACTCTGTTCATATAGCTCTCAAATTAAATCTTTTACAACACTTTAACTCCACGATTCTTTATTGGTAATATATTAAAGACTACTCCTATCCACCATAAATACCATTTTCCTTTGGGTGACCCTCAATTTTAATCCTTCAAAGACTGCCCTAGCGCATGAATCATAGCCATTCAACATCACCAGGATATTTATCTCAAAAAATTTCTTTTGTGGAAAAGATGGAAAAGACGTAGACTAGAAAATAGCGCATTTAGATGAACTCCAAACTAGCTGAATGGCCAGATGCTGACAGTAATCATTAATCATTTTGTCAGCTAAGAAGGTGGTCTCTTGTAGTCACCTTGGGATCTAACAACAACAATAATAGCATCTAGCATCTACAGAGCACTTCAAAGCAAAGCATTTTACAAATATCTCATTTTATCCTCATAACAACCTAGGAGTTAGATACTATTATTATCACCATTTTACAGATGAGGAAGTCGAGGCAGGTAGAAGTTAAGCGACTTGCTCAGGACTACATAGGTAGTTAAGTGTCTAAAGCTGGATCTGAACTCAGGTCTTCTTGATTCCAGGCCCAGACCTATCTACTTTACCACCAAGCTATTCTTGGGCTTGTACTGTTTAACATTTTTATTAATGACTTAAGAGGAAACATAGAGTGGAAAGAGGGCAAAGCTTGGAATTAGTAAGACATGGCTTAAACTCTCTCTTCCAGACTGTATATGTGATCCTGGTTAAGTCACAAACTCCAGTGCCTCAGGCATTCTGTATATGCAAACATATCAATGTAAATTGAGAAGAAGGCACTAAGCTATATTAGTACAGGGAGTTTCTTGCACCAATCTTATGAATGGTTTAAAAAAACTGATGACTTGGACAAAATTGATGACGGCTTGCACATCAGATTTATAGACAAAACAAAACTAGTTATCTTAGATTTATAGCTAAAATGAAGCTAATGCCTAAAACAGCAAGAGGAACCAAAAAGATTTGGACAGGCCAGAACACTGGACTGACCCTATTAAGATGAAATTTGCCGTAAAGTTTAAAGAATGGTAGCCATAAAGTTTCAATTTAGGGTCATGCAAGAAAAAAGGAATACAATAAAATAAAAAATATATGCTTATCCTTTTTCCGACTGCTTCGAAAGAAAGGAAAATGTGTTTTTCTGGACACATGGAGGTATGAAAACATTCCACTGCTGTGACATGGAACACTCCCTGACATGTTAAACCCCCCGAGAAAAGCAGAGGAAGTCAAACCAACTACTCTGCAGTTGTCTAAGAAATACTATTGAAATCAGTGGACTTTTTAGAAAGTTAGTATAGCCTCAGAATTTTTGAGAATTTATGATTTCTCTGGGTAATTCTTAATTACTTACTAAGAGTTCTATTAACTTCTCTAAACTATAGCTTATTCAAGAAAAACACTGGCTCTTTGTCTGACTTTGATTCTTAGAACTCTTAAAATAAAAAAACATTTGGGAAAATGCCACAATAAAATCAAAGTCTATCAAGAAAAGTCAGTACAACCCTGACTAACAGGACCTACTTAAGACATACAACTAGTAGTAATAATGAAATTTAGAATAGTAGCTTTCTTGTCCTGCAATTTATCAAACAAACTCTGACAATTCCTGATTTCCTTACTAAAGAGGAGGAGTAATAATGACCTAGACAAACCAAGACTAGAGATGATCTTTAAATAATTTAAATTTGGATAGTTTCTAAGTAATTTAAAGCAAAACTATGTTCCTAATCATTCTTTATAAACCTACATTAAAAATAATTTAGAATTATAATTTCTTTGCTTTCCTTATCTTACATCATCAGCTGAGGGCCATCTCCAGTCATTCTGATCTATATCTTGCCACTGGACCTAGATGACTCCAGAAGAAAAAGTGAGGTTGGTGACTTTGTACTGCCCTCCCTCACTTAAATCCAATTCACTTGCATATCATGGCATCACCTCCCTGATGTAATGGTCCTCTTTGAGAACAAAGGACAAACAACAACATTGGCAGCTAAACAGCAGAGGCCAGAACTCCAAGAGCTTAATCTGGGTGTTGGAAAAAATAATAATAACCAAAATTGTATGTCTTCAAGGTCTATATATGAAGACTTGCTGACTCAGGAAGACCTGTCTCAAAATGAGAATAATTTTCTTTCAGAGACTTCAGCTGTACAGTGAAATAAGGTAAAAAGCTAAGGGAGACAACACAATATATGACAGAATCATAATTCAAAAAGATCTTGACAAGCTAGAACACTGGAATGAATATAGTAAGATAAAAGTTAATAGGAATAAATGTACAGTCTTAGGCTTAAAAAAAAAAAAACGATTTCACAAGCACAGGATGGGGGAGATGTTGAAAAACAGTTCATCTGAAAAATACATGGACTTTACTGGACTACAGGCTCAACAGGAGTCAAGAATATAATATGTAGCCAAAAAAGTTAATATAATTTTTGGCTACATTATGAGAGACATAGTAAAATAGAACTAGAGAGGTGAGAGTCCAAATGTAATCTGCCCTGGTCGGAATACATTTGGAATATGGTCCACATTTTTATGGAGGCCATTGCTTAGCTAAAGAGTGTTCAAAGAAGAGCAACCAAGATGGTAAAGCGCCTTGAGAGCATGGCATATGAAAATCAGCTAAAGGAATTGGGGTATTTAGCTTAAAAAAGAGAAGATTTTGACAGCTACATTCAGGTATCTAAATGATTGTCATATTAAAGAAAAATTAGACTTATTCTAATTGGAACCAAAGTATCAAGTACTAGTTCCTAGCAGCAATGAGTAAAAGTTGCAAAGAGGTAAATTTTGGTTTACTTTTAAACCAAACTTCCTGACAATTAGACATATTCAAAAGTGGAATGAGCTACCTGAGGAGGCAATGAGATCCCCCTCACTACAGATCTTCGAACATAGCCTCGTTGATCACGTATAGAGTATATTATAGAGGGGATTTTTATTCTGGTCACTGAATAAAGTCAAACTAGCTAGTCTCTAAGATTCTTCCCAATACCAAAATTCTGTGATTCTGAAGACGGAAATGGGTAGTAATCACAAAATGCTCCAATTTTAAAAAATAAGAATCCTTCTCTCTTATTGAAATTGGTATGATGTTTTTACCAATAGACAGGTTCCTGCAGAGCAAAATTAAATAACTGCTCACTTATGCAACTAATCCTAAAATCAGCTATAGTGCTTGCTTTACCATTATAGAAGTGATATCATAAAAAAAAAAATTCAGATCCACTTTTTCTTATTTACATAGGTAGCAGACTATAGGTATGTAATGTTGCACATATTACCACAAGTAAATGTGGTGTTTGATTTTGCTGCTTTTTCTTTTTTTATCTTTTTTTAATTACAAAAGATGGCTTGTTTAGTGAGACAAGAGGAATCATATTTGAATATAAAAATATTGTAAAAAACAAAAGTTTGCAATAAAAATGCTTTTAAAAGAAAAAATTAAAAAGCAAGTTCAATTTCAGATAGCTTTTTTTTTAAATTTTGCTTGCATCTTGCAAACTATATGGCTACTTTTTTCCACTTTTAGCATTAGGCAATTGAACTGTTTCCTGAAACAATAACAAAATTAATATCTTTAGTATGGAAGACTAGCAATCAAATTCAAAATGATAAAAAACTGATTTAGAATAAATTTTAAAAATCATTATAAACTTAGGTTTAATTGAATACTTTAGACTGACAAAATTTTTCCCAAAAAATACCTCAGATTATGAATTCCTTAAGCTACTTTTTTTTTAACAAAGCTTGATAGTGTTTATGGATGTTAAAAAAATAATAACATATTAGTTTAATTGAAATTTTTGTCCACCTCTGCGTATGTCAAGCAGACTCTTCCAAGGAAAAAAACAAAGAAAATAATCCAATCACAGGTAATCTACATAAGAAAAAAAAGGAGATCTAATGCAAGATTCTTGTTGGTGCTGGCTCCTTAAAGAACAGATTACATATCATGAAATAGTGCCAAAAGTTCTAGAACAAGAGTCCCAGCTTAGAATTGTAATCAATTCCAGCCATGCATCAAGGCATAGTTGATACTTTTTAAAAAGTGGAATTCCAAGCAGGAAGCACTATAGAAGTCTACATAAATGCAACACAACAAACAAGGCACACTATATATAAACATTACACCCAAACAGAACAATTTTTTAAACAAATCTTGCTATGTCAGCATACTGACTGCAAAATATTTGGTAAAGACTTAAACTAGAAAATTAAAATTACAAGTAGCATTTTGGAGGTCTTTCTCAAACTGCTGAAAAATCTGGGTGGCCCAGATTACTCTCTCAAAAGAGTATTTTTCCTCCCCTCCCCTTAAAATACTGTAAAGGGCACTGAAATATTTGCATGGATACATCTGGTGTGTTGACACAGCTCTCAGCAATAATTCCTTCAAAAGGGTGATCTTTTCCTTCAGATTCTGCAACAAAGCTCGGATTGCGACAGTAAGCTGAAAAGTAAAGAGCACATTTAATCATTCCAGTCTTAAAATGTACAACAGATTATACAAAATCATTTTAATTCTGTTATATATATGATTCTACCAAGGAAAGAAAAAAAGTTTCTGTCTCAGAAATGGTAGCAATGTGCTGCCTTTCATAAACAAAGACAAGTCTTTTAATACATCATCAGAAAAATATGCATTTTGAATTGTTTATTTAAAAAACGTTAAACAACACAAGGTCAAGCATAAATGGAGACCTCCCTCCAAGCCAAAACAGATTACGGTCAGATAAGGGGATTTCAGAATTCTTGAACATAGAAGCAGTATATTTGTGGGTGATGACAAGATTGAGGGTACGACCATCTTTGTATGTTGCTGAAGTTGGATGGAGGTAGTACATGGGAGAGGAGTAGGCTGAGGAACAGAGTGGCTAGGGTATTTAAAGGAGAATCAAAATGTAAGCTGAAGACTAAGAAAGGTGTTACTCTCCATTTTATCATACCCTAAACTTCATGATTAAAAACAAATTCAATTCTCTACTCTCTATTCTCAAGTCTCTGAAGTACAGGCTCCAGTGTCCAGTGCCTACTGTGCTTTCTGGAATGCCTGCCACATAGATAACAAACCTGTTTTCATCTTAAACGTTTTCCTTTCTTGCTCCAACTATCTTCATGCATTCACTGAGACCAAGCTGCCTCCTGGTGACACAGCTTCCCTGGCCACTCTTCCCAGCACTGGGTACACTTTGACTCAGACAACTTGACTCACTCAATGGTGGGGGAGATAGAATACAATTTACTTCTCATTGCCATTTTCAGGTTTTCCTTCTATCATCACCACTCAACGACCTATACTTTTGTGAGGTTCATTTAATCAATATTTATTATTATAAATATCTATTATTAAGATTCTGGTAACTGTTATCTACCTACCTCCAGGAAGGAGAATTCCTTCCTTGCTGAGCAAATTCAGTGCCTGACTAAAATCTTTCTTTCCTCCCCTATTGTAAAGTTAAACATGAGTTTATATTTTATCCTAGCAACAACAGGGAGCCACCAGAATTTACTAAGTAAGGTCAGATCTGGGCTTAAGGAAAATACTTTGGAAGAGGAATATAAAACAGAATGCAGTAGTGAGAATCTTAAGGCAGAAATCAATTAGAAAGTCACTGCAATAATCTAGACAAGAGGTTATGAGGGCGTAAGATGGTAGCTGGGTGAAGAGAGGGAAAAGGTGGCACATGGGAGATGAGAAAGTGGAAATGGCAAGTTCTGGCAACTGATTAGATATGTGGAATGAGGGAGAATGAGAAGTTGAGGATAACAATGAGGCTGTGAACCTGGTAATCTGGAAGTGATAGTGCCTTCAAGCAAAATAGGGAAGTTTGAAAAAGTAAGGAAAGTCTGGAGCATGGAAGAGGTGGGGAGAGATAATGAATTTTGTTTTTTGGATATAGTATATTTGAGATATGTCCGGGACATCCAATTTGAAATATTCAAAAGAAAGTAGAACCAAGATGTCAGAGTAGCAAGAAGCAATGCAGCAAGCTCCCCTCAAAAACTCTTCCAAAAAGATCTAGAAATCACAGCAGATCAAGTCTTGAACAGGAAACCCTAGAAAAAGTCATAGTGAATCATTTTTCAAGCCTAAGTAGGCAAAGAGAGATAGACAGGTCTATGGAAACTGAGGACCAGCCCAGGCTTTCTCTCCAGAGGTATGCAGAGACTAGTACTAACATAAAATACAAAGTCAGAAAGCAGGCTAGAAAAATGAGCAAGTAAAAAGAGAATCCCACCATGGAAAGATATTATGGTGACAGAGACACTCAGAACACACACTCAAAAATATAGAATGATTCCAAAATATCTACAAGCAAAGCCTTAAAGAAAATTATAGCTTGGGTATAAATTTAACTAGAAGTCCCATAAAAGAGGAAGCAAGACTTGAAAGGGGTTCTGTTATATCTTGATGATCTTAAGAGAATAATGGTAAAAAAAGAGGAAAAGGAACATACCAGGGGAAGGGAGAAGGAAAGGAAGGTTACAGAAAATTATCCCACACCATCAAGGTGCACAAGTAGACATCCATACAAAGAAGGGGGAGGGGGCAATAGGAAGCAGATGAACTTAAATCTCACTCTCATCCAAACTTGTCAAAAGAGAGAATACACACACACACACACGTGGGCGCGCGCGCATGCACGCATGCACACAGAGTTGAGTACAGAAATACATTTCACTTAACAAAGAAATAGGAGGGAAAGGTGAAAAGGGGGAAATAAAAGGAAAGGAGATTAAGGGAAAGATCAATCTTAAACAAAATGAATTTTAAATAAGAATATACAAAAATATTTATAGTTCTTTTTGTGGTAGCAAAGAATGGGAATCAGAGAAAGCGTCCATAAACTGAGAAATGGCTGAACAATTTACAGTATAAATGCAATAAGAACAGACAGGTAAGAGAAGAACTAGCAGCTAGGTGGTATAGTAGATAGAGCAATGGCCTGGAATTAGGAATACCTGAGTTCAAATCCAGCCTCAGATACTCACTAGCTGTGTGTCCCTGGGCAGATCATTTAATCTCTTTTTGCCTCAGTTCCCTCAACTGTAAAATGGGGATAATAATAGCAAAGCTGTTGTAAAGATCAATGAAATATTTGTAAAACACTTAGCACAGTCTCTAGTGTAGCAGACGTTATGTAAATGTTTATTCCTTCCTCTTCTCCCCTCTCCAACTGGCAAGAGTTTGTAAAGATCAAATGAAATAATATTTGTAAAGCTCTTAGCATAGTGCCTGACACATACTGAGCACTATACAAATGCTTATTCTCTTCCCCTTCCCCAACTAAAAAAAAGTGTAACGAAAACTCAGAGAAGAGAAAATATCTAGGAAGACAAGGAAATCAACACAACAAAGTCAAATGCAGCAGATAAGTAAAGAAGCATGAAGACTGAGAAAAGAATGGTAGACTTGACAATTAAAAGATCACTAATAGCTTTGGAGAAAGCAGTTTCTGTTAAGATTAAAAGACTAACAGACTGAAGAGCTAGCGAGAGGAGAACAAGTGGCAGCAGCGAATACAGAGAACTTTCTCAAGGAGTATACCCAAAAAAGGAAGGTGAGATAGGGAGGACAATAATTTGAGAGGATGTTGGGGTCTAACAGAGGTTTTTTAAGGATGGGGAAACCTCAGCATATTCTAAATCAGTAGGGAAGGAACCATTAGATGACAAGTAGGCAAGAGACAACGGGAAGATCACTGAGGATACGTTCTGCTGGAGAAGATGGGAGAGTGCACATGAAGGAGAGGTGAAGAGGGGCTGGAGTAGCTGGCCTTCGCAATTAAGAGACTAGGAGGTAGGTGCACAGCCAAGATGGCAGATTAGAAGCAGCAAACCAGCTAGATTCTCCCAACATTCGCCTTCAAACAACTTTAAAAAAAACACCTGAAATCAAATTCTGAAGCAGCAGGGCCAACATAAAGTCGAGGCAAGACATTTTTCCAGTCCAAAACAACTCAGGAGGTCAGCAGGAGATGACAGTGACACCAGGGTGGAAACTGGCCCAAAGTACCCTCAGAGACAACTCCAGCAGTGGGCTTTGGAGGTAGCAGCAGCATGTTCAGAAGCTCTCAGCTCAGAGGTTGGTAGTCGGATTGGAAAACTGGTCAGAAAGAGATTTTAGGGGACCTTGAGCTGACACTGGGTGGAGGACTGAGCACTATTTGGGAATTACATTGCCTATACACAGTTCCAAGAAGAAGGGGACCAGGTCACAGTTTCAGGGCTGAGAGGAGTACTAGCACTTACGGCTGAAGGGGAATAGAGGCCCTTCCTGGGTAAGGACCAGCACACAGACCAGTAAAGCAGTGACTACACCTCTACCCAGATCATACCACTTGGAAACATCAAAAACTGGCAGACACCCAGAACTCTATGGCAGACACCACAGAGAATGAAGTAATATCAATACTAAACATATATGCACCAAATGGCATAGCTTCCAAATTCTTAAAGGAAAAATTAAATGAATTACAGGAAGAAACAGATAGAAAAACTATAGAGGTGGGGACCTCAACTTTCCCCTCTCAGAGCTAGATAAATCTAACCATACAATAAATAAGAAAGAAGTGAAGGAGATGAACTGAATCTTAGAAAAGCCAGATATTATAGACTTCTGGGAAAAACTGAATGGGAATGGAAAAAAGTATACTTTTTTTCTCAGCTACAGATGACACCTTCACAAAAACTGACCATTAGGGTATAAAAACCTCACAACCAAATGCAGAAAGCAGACCTTTTTAGACCATAATTCAATAAAAATTACATTCAAAATAGGGCCATGAAAGCATAAATTAAAAATTAATTGAAAACTAAATAATCTAATCCTAAAGAATGAGTGGATCGGGGCAGGTAGGTAGCGCAGTGGATAGAGCACTGGCCCTGAAGTCACGAGGACCTGAGTTCAAATCCGGTCTTAGACCAAACACTTGACACTTACTAGCTGTGTGACCCTGGGCAAGTCACTTAACCCCAATTGCCTCACACACACAAAAAAAAAAGAATGAGTGGATCAAAGAACAAATCAGAAACAATTAATAATTTCACTAAAGAGAATGACAATAATGAGATAATATATCAAAATTTATGGGATGCAGCCAAAGCAGTACTTAGGGGACACTTCATATTTCTAGATTGCCTTTTCACAAAGTTTTGCCATAAAAAAATAAAGGATAGGGGCAGTTAGGTGGTGCAGTGGATAGAATATGGGCCCTGGAGTCAGGGGGACCTGAGTTCAAATCCAGCCTCAGACCAAACACTTGACACTTACTAGCTATGTGACCTGGGCAAGTCACTTAACCCCCATTGCCTAAAAAAAAGAAAAAAAAGAAAAAGAAAGAAAAAGAAAAGATAATAGCTAATGGAGATGGAAAGATCAAGTAAGGGTTTTTTTGAAGATAAGGAGGAAATGGGCATGTTTGTGGGCAGTACGTAAACAGCCAGTAGACAAGGGAGATTCAAGATTAGTGAGAGAATAGGATAATAGAGGGGGCAATCTGCTGGAAAAGAAGAGATAAAATGAGTTTACTTGTGCAAGTAGAAGGGTTTGTTTTGGCAACAAGAAGAGACTTCTTCATGTGAGACTAGAGTGATATAGAGGAGATATTAGGAGAAGGCATCTGAGTTTTGTGAGAAGAGGAGGATACGAAATATGAAGCAAAGTTCTTAATTGAGAGGGTATGGAAAACCTACGAGATTTCTGAGGAAGGATGAAAAGGACTGTAAGAGCCACTGTGGTGCATGGGGTAGTTAGTCAATTAGGGAGGTGTAAAAGGATTGCCTTGCAGCACTGAGAGCCCCACTGAGATTATGTAATATAAAATATTAGTAGACACAAACAGCATGGTTTTCTAACTTTTTCCAACTTTTTTCAGCAGCATGTGAATAGGAGTAATCCAAGGCTGATCCTTAGAAGAGCCAAGGATTGACAAGAGGATTAGGGGACAGGATTAGGTTCCTCTTGAAAGAAGAACTGGTTTGCCAAAGAGTCAAAATGGGGAAAGGAAGAGAGTATAGTGACAAACTAGTAAAGAACTTAGAGGCAGATGGAATCAAGATCACAATGAGGATGAAGAACAAAGTTTGGGACTAAAAGGCAGAGACTGATGTGAAGTGACAACAGATTATCTCAGATTTCATGAACAGGGAAGTGGTATATTTGTGGGTGACAGCAAAATCAAAGGTGCGACTATCTCTGTCATAGTGCGGAGCTATGGTAGGGTAGAGAAGTATGGCAAATGGATAAATTAAGGAACTGGGAAAATAGGGTGTTTGAGGGAGCATCAATATGTATATTGAAATCCCCTAAGATGTAAGCAGGAGTTGAGGAGGACAGAAGGACTATGAGCCAGGCACAGTACTTACTAGATTTGTATCCAAGGGCAAGTAACTTAATCTGAGCCTGTTTCTTTATCTATACAATGAGGATTAAAAAAAAAATCATACCTACTTTACAGTTGTTATGAAACTCAAATCAGTTAATGCACAGAAAACTCTGTAAACTTGAAAGTATTCAACTATAATTGTTAGTAGTTGTTGCTATTATTGTTATTCTTATTGAAATATCAAAAAGACCTAAAGAAAGGCCTCCTGCAAGTCGTCTTTGCAGGATCTATAGAAGACAAGAATCACATAGGATAGGAAAGCATGGAAAGGTTGTCATGTGCACCCACATTCGAGGAAATACCCGCATCAATGAGTTCCATTGAAGCACTGAAAATATAGAGCTTAAATACTTAGCTTCAAAGATGAAAGATTTTTTCAGACTTCCAAGCTAAAACAAATGAGATTAGATAATTTCTTACTGCTATTACCTTGGTTGTACTTTCACCATTTCTTTCACACTGGTTGCGCTGTTGGATTTTCTCAGCAATTTCTTGTGCAATATGACAAGTGGAATCATAAGTAGACAACCTTTATCAAAATTAAGTGAAGAAAAATGGTTTCAGACTCTTAAAGAAAATTTCTTTATTTTCTAATTTTAAATGTCCAGATCTATGTTCTAGCATTAATGAAATATAAACAAACTACAAATGGAAAAGGGTATCAAAAAGCACTTAAGGAATCCTCTAATCAAAGTATTTTAGGGGAGAAAGGAACTAAAAAGGGGAGGGAAGCGATCAGCGTTTATACCTACTACGTGCTGGGCATAGTCCTAAGCACTTTAAAAATATTATCTCATTTGACCTAATAGAAAACTAAATGCTATAATTATTTGCTCATTCAACAAACATTTAATGCCTATGATATGAAAGCTACTACTACGTTAGAGATTGTGGGAAAAAGAAAAATGAGTAAGACCAAAAATGAAGCATGGTACAAAAAGAATACTGTATTTAGAGTTAAAGGACACAGGTTTAAATACCACTTCTTCTACTTAATAAAACCATGACCTGGGTCAGACAAGTCACTTAACCTGAGAGCCTGAGTATTCTAGTCTGTAAAATGAAAGGGTTACACTAGATGATCACTAAAGGCAATCAATGAACATTTAAGTGCCAGCTATGTGCCAGCATTGTGCCAGGTGCTGAGGATACAAATACAATGAAATAATCCTTACTACCAAGCTTATATACAAATAGGGCAGGAAACAAGTACACATTTAAGAATATGCTGAATAAATACAAAGAATAAATACAAAGTAGTTAAACACAAAGGTGGTTTGGGAGAAAGGGCACTAGCAACTGAGAGATCAGGAGAACTTCATACAAAAGAGTCGAATCTTAAAAGAAAGGGCTCTAAGGAAGAGGTAAAGAGGGACATGTAGAATTGTCAATGCAAAATATGTAAATAGGAAATGGGTGCCATAGAGACAGGCTAGTTTGACTGGATTGCAGAGTTCAGGAAAGGCACATTCAGACTGCAAAAAATAGGTGGGGACCAAGTTGTAAAGGGTTTTGAAAACTAAACTAAACAAAATATATTTATATTTATATAAATATAAAATTTCTATTTTATCCAATCAGCAAAAAGGAGTCAGTAGAATTTGAGTAAAGGAGTGACACGGTCAGATCTGAGCTTAAGGAAAATTATTTTGGCAGCAGTATATAGGATGGAATTCAATTGTGAAAGACTTAAGGCAGGGATACACTTCGTAAGACTTCACACGTATCATGCTATCATAGTGCTTGCCTTCTCAAAGGGTGAGGGAGGAACTGGAGGGACAGAGAATTTGGAACTGAAAATTTTAAAAGTGAATAATAAAAAATAAGTAAGCGCAAATATGTTTTAAAGACTTAGGGCAGGGGGACTAGTTAAGAGGCTATTGCAATAATCTAGGCAAGAAGATAGAGCCAGATGACGATAACTGTGTGAGTAGAAGGAAAGAATAAGATGTAAGAAATGTTGTGAAATTAGAAATGGCAAGATTTAGCAATTGACTGGATATGTGAGGAGAGAATGAGGAATTAAGGATAACTCTAAGATGTGAGCATAGTATACTGAGTGATAGTGCCTTCATTCAGAAGTAGGAAGTATGAAAGAGGGATAGGTTTGAAAGGAAAGATACTAAGTTATGTTTGGAACTGTTGGGTTTGAGATGTTTTGGGGGATATCCAGTTTCAACAATACAATGATCTAAGACAATTCCAAAAGACTCACGATGGAAAATGCTATCCACATCCAGAGAAAGAATATGGAGTCTGAATGCAGATCAAAGTACACTATTTCCTCTTATTTGTTTGTTGTTTGTTTTTTCTTTCTTGTGGTTTTTCCCTTTTGTTCTGATTCTTCTTTCACAACATAACTACTGTGGAAATATGTTTAATATGATTGTACATGTGTAGCCTATATCAAATTGCATGCTGTCTTGGGAAGGGCAGAGGGAAAAAATTTGGAACCCAATCTTATAAAAGTGAATGCTGAAAACTAAACATAAATAAAAATAAATTTTTAAAAATGAAAGAGAGAAAGGAACCTAGTATAGAACCTCAGGGAACACTTGCAGTTAGAGGGTATGATATGAATGATGAACTAACAAAGACTTTGGAGAGGCTGAAGGGGTAGAGGACAACCAGGAGAGACAGAGGTTTTTGACACAAAAAGCTAGAGAAGAAAGTATCCAGTAGGAAAGGGTGGTCAATAATATCAAATTAAGGGTTAAGAAGGATGAGTACTGCAGGCGCAGCTAGGTGGAGCAGTGGATAGAGCTCTGGCCTTTGAGTCAGGAGGACCTGAATTCAAATCTAGCCTCAGACACTTGGCACTTAACTAGCTGTGTGACCTAACCCTGATGGCCTAAGCAAAAAAAAAAAAAAAGGACGAGTACCTAGAAAAGACTATTAGATTTGCCAGTTAACAGATCATTGGTAACTTTAGGGAAGACAATTTTAGTTGAGCAATGGGGTGAGAAGCCAGACTGCAAAGGACTGAGGAATAAATGAGAGGAGAATAAGTGGAAGCAGTGAATATGCTTTTTCAAAAAATCTGACCAAGAATGAGAGGAGAGATACAAGACAATAGTTTGAGGGGATGTTAGAGTCTAATGAAGGTTAAGGATGGGAGACTTGGGCAAGTGTGAAGGCAGGAAGGAAAGGAACATGTAGATAGAGAGAGGTTGAAGACTAGAGAGAAAGAAGGTTCTTTACAGTTGTGATCTTAGAGCCTTTTATGAACTGGTCTTTGCTTTCAAAAAGCTTAAAGTATAGTAGGGGACTTGACACATAAGTCATATTATAGAGTCAACTGCAATCAGTACCATAAGAGGTAGAAAGGGCTTTATAAATTCAGAGGAGGGAGAGATCGCTTTTCAACTAATTGGGTTAGGACAGGCTTTAAGAAAGTAACTTGATTAATGCCTTTCCCGAAGGACTGTTATGATTTCAATAGGCAGAAAGGAGGAAGAGGATACTCATGTAGAGAGAATTGCAGGAACAAAGGCATAGAACAGGAAAATAAAGGAGGGTAGTATAGGGCAACAGGCCAGGAGGGGACCTTTCAGACTATAGTAAATGTCCCAACTTGGCTGCAACTGTCAGTTGAAATGTGGCCAGAAAAAATAGGTTGGGTCCAGATTAGTCTTGAATATCAAACTAAAACAGTTTGTAATTTTTTTGGTTGTCAACAAGACTCAAGATTTTTGAGCATAGAAATGTCATGTTCAGATACAAGAAAATTAATCTGGCTATTAGAGGAAGCATGGTATAGTGAATAGTGGCTAGCATTGGATTCAGGGAGACCTGAATCCAAGTCCTACCTTGGACCCACACTAGCTGTGTGATCCTGAACAACTCACTTAACTTCAGTGTCTCAGGTAATTGTCTAAGATTTTTGAGTTACTGACAAATTGCAATTTTCTTCACTGGAGGTAGCTTCCACACCACAAGTTCTTTACATGGATGAAGTAACAGGTCTGAATAAAAAAAACAAAACTGGCTATTGTGCATAGGATGGACAAAGGAAAAAGAAACCAGTTAGGAGACCTACCACAATAGTTGAGACAAGATATAATGATGACCTGAACTAGGATGATGGGATTGGGGACAGAAAGGAGCAGGCAGAATGATCTGCAAATGTGGACAAAAATCCAAAAGACTTATTAACTGACTGGATAAGTAAAGCAGAGGTGGAAGGAATGAGGTGAATTTATTTTTAGAGCCCTAGGACTAGGTATAGATCTGAGTGTCATAGAATCATAGACCATGAAACTTGGAAGTGGACTACAGATCATCTAGACCAATCTGGGCCAATGATGAGTGTAACAAGGATCTCTGTGAGTGATGGATCAGTGGAATAGGTTAGGTACACAAGACACGGTAGTCAAAGACTACAGTAATCTACTGTTTGATAAACCCAAAGACCCCAGCTTCTGGGATAAGAACTCACTATTTAACAAAAACTGCTGGGGAAACTGGAAAAGAATATGGCATCATATACCAAAATAATTTAGATATAAAGGTTGTTACTATAAGCAAAGTGGTAGAGCAAGGAATAGTTTACCTGTCAGATTTATGGAGACCAGAAGAATTTATGACCAAACAAGAGACAGAGAACATTATGAAACACAAAATGAATAATTTTAATTACATTAAATTGCAAAGTTTTTGCACAAAGCCAACGCAGCCAAGATTAGGAGGGAAGCAGAAAACTGGGAAAGAATTTTTACAATCGGTATCTCTGATAAGGGCCTCATTTCTAAAACACATAGAGCACTAAGTCAAATTTATAAGAATACAAGTCATTCCCCAGCTGATAAATGGTCAAAGGATATGAACAGGCAGTTTTCAGAGGAAGAAATTAAAGCTATCTATAGTCACATGAAAAAATGCTCTAAATCACTACTGATTAGAGAAATACAAATCAAAACGACGCTGAGGTACCACATCATACCTATCAGGTTGGCTAACATGACAAAACAGGAAAATGATAAATACTGGAGAAGATGTGGGAAAATTGGAACACTAATGCATTGCTGGTAGAGTTGTCAACTGATCCAAACATTCTGGAGAGCAATTTTGAACTATGCCCAAAGAGCTATAAAAATGTGCACACCATTTGACACAGCATCTCTAGGGCTGTCTCCCAAAGAGATCATACAAATGGAAAAAGGACCCACATGTACAAAAATATTTATAGCAGCTCTTTTTGTGGTAACAAAGAATTGGAAATCGAGGGGATACCCATCAGTTGGGGAATGGCTAAACAAGTTGTGGTATATGAATGTAATGGAATACTATTGTGCTATAAGAAATGATGAGCAGGCAGACTTTAGAAAAACTTGGGAAGACTTGAATGAACTGATGCTAACTGAAGTAAACAGAACCAGGAGAACATTATACACAGTAACAGCCACAACATGTGACGACTAACTTTAATAGACTTATCTCTTCTTAGCAATACAAGGATCCAAGAAAATGCCAAAGGACTCATGATGGAAAATGCTGTACACATGCAGAAAAGAACTACGGAGTCTGAAT